GTTTTAACGCAATCGCAATTTCGGTTGACATTTTGCGCTCTCGGCCATTTTCCCATTTTCCCAACTTGCCAGCCTCTGGCTGTCGATAGACGTCTACAGGTAGGTCCGCCCCCTAAATAGTACCAATCTCTTTCCTACCCCCTCCAACAAATTCCAGGTATGTTGTGTGCCCCAAACCCTGACTGTCTGCTTTATGAAAAATGCATTTTGTCTGTCGTCGCTGGTCCATGAAGCGAAATGCGGCCGTGTGGCTAATATCATTTCATTTGGCTTTTGAATTCGTTAGTTGAAGTTCGTATTTCGGTTGGGCATTGGCAAATATCTAATCATTTAAGTGGCTTAAATTAAGTCACCCTTATTGGACTCTAAACGGGCAATTGGGGCTGTCATTTCACATTGATCGGAATTAAAGCGAGTATTGTAAGGCAATAAACAATTTATTTTTTATAGATTTAAGTCTACTTTTACTTAAGAGTCTTCCTTAAATTCATCAGAATTTCTAATGAAATCAGGCAGAGTGCTAATCAAGAAGAGTAAATCCCCTTCTTAGTCGCTAAACCCCAAAAACAGATTGTTTTCTCGAATTCTTACAAAAGATCATTCCATCTATATCAAAAAACTTTTATAAAATAAATCTCATAATTTTGATGCCACGTTAGGCCTTCCATCAATCACAAATTTGACATTTGGAACACCTGTGGCTATGTTAGCCGTAACATCCCTATATTTTAAACATTTTTTTCGGGGTTTCGGTATTGATGTTCGTACAAATTAAACCGAATGCAAATAAGTCAATTTGAGATGAAACACGAAGCGAAATTAATGTGCTACAAAATAAATACGACAAGATAAATGTTTTTGCCACTGAGCTGGTGGCAAGTAACAAGATAAACTGATGGTGGTGTGCTAATAAAAATACACGAACACGAGTCCTGCGAAGGCGTCCTTGTGAAATGTGTGAAAATCGCTCCGAGGCCCTAGACTTTTCCGTATGTGTGGGTGGTGTATGAGTGCGGGCACGTTTAGCATTTCAAAAGGCGTATTGTTTATTTTTTCCCTTTTCCCTTGTGTTTTCACATTCAATGTTATTTATCTGCGTTTTTCCCATCCAACCCAGCGCCAACGATCTTTCCTCCTTTGTAACCCAAGTTCACTTTCCCAGACCGCCTTTGTAGTTAACTTCTTTGTAGTTTCGTTTGCTTATTCATTTCCTTTTTCCCCGAAACACATACACATGAAAAGTTATTCTTTTTTTTTTGGCCAACCCACAATGAAAATGAAAATGGAAGATGGGAGATGGCGGAGAATAAGCGGCAAGCTGGAAAACTTGTCACGTGATAAACTCGGAAAGCAAAAGAATGTCACGTACTAAGAACGCAGCGACAACCTTTGCCACTTAAAGTTTTAAGTTCGCAGCGCAGAAATATGTTTTAATTCCATAATCAGCTTGCACTTGGCCAAAACCCGAAATCAATTCCCCATTGTTGTTACTCTACTGTCCTGCTAGAAAATCCCAGCATTTTGGGAAACACCAAATGCTGGTCACGTAGTATCCCCCTTGGAAAAGTGGGGGACAGCTGTTTGGGTGCACTTAGCATTGCTACATAATTTCTGATGGCGTCATTTTAAGAATTATGAATGCCACGTGACTTTTGCTGGGCAAATAAAAGAACCCGGAAATCAGGCAACAGGATTTTCTATGTTAAGCCAAGCATGGGAAATTCGTATTTGAAAAAGTGAGTCAGTGTGAAAGTGGGATAAAGTAAACTTTTAAGTTTAAAGGAATTATTATGATATTTGATAGGAAATATATGATTTCGGATATTAGATTCTTCTTAAGCTTAAGGCAATATATTTAGTAATTAATTGAAAACAATTTTATATAAATGAAAGATCTTTTAATATTACAAATGTAGTAACGAATCTCTGTGATTCCATCTTGATGCTTTAAGTGTTCCTGACTTGCAGCTGCATTTTAATTTATATCGTCTGGCTAAAAGGGCAACCTCCGGCAGAAAAACACCTCGGTGACCGGTCAAAGGTGTCACACATAAACCATTCAATCTGACAGTCAGCTGGGGAGATACCAGTCGTCCGGGATATATGTAGTGATATAGCAAAGCGATAGACAATGACAATGCCCAACGTTGACCGCAGTCAAACTTTCGATTTCACTTCGTTAACGTGGCGAGTTGGACACGTTTTTCCGCCCCTCCCTTCCTTTCCACCTTTTCGGGTGCTCCGCAATTTATTTTTTCTGCACATTTGTCGAGAGTTTTCCCTTCGCTCCATATTCATTTCGGTGGTGCAAATTGCGCACGAAACATGCGAGTGGTGAGTGCACAAAACCAATTTGTAATAAAGACGACGATGGCGAGGAAAACAGGGAAAAAGCGCAATGCCTTCATTTCATTGTTCATTGTGGCTCTACGAGGTACTTGTAAATTTTTTGTGGGTATGATGATGACTATATATGATCGATATACGGACAAGGGTTTTGCAAAATTTTTTCATTATTTTTATCGGTCTAACTTACACGTTAGTTAAAATAGGTCTCACAGCCAAAGTTTTTCCTAGATTTGAATTCAAGTTTTATATAAATTTAATTTCAAACTCAGTGAGGTATTACATTCCATATTCGGAACATTTTTGTCTTTGTTATGGAAAAAATACTGTTATTTTGGGGCAACATCAATACGGTAAATTACCAATGTATAAATTTCCCAGATTTGAATGACAATCGATTGAAAAACAAATATTGACATGCAGGATATCCCTTAGTCGATAAGCTTGACTGGCCCTTTATCGTAGTTAAGGAATAGGTGTCCAGAATGGCTCAGTCTGACGGAGTGGGATTATGCGGCATCAGAAGATGTTGACACATCACGCAGCCATCCTGGCATTTGAATGTTTTCAATTAACTTTATGTAGATAAATAGCCACAACTGGCCCCGTTGGCCAAGTTGTCTGAGTTGGCTGAAATATCTCAGTTGGCTTTAAGGACGACCAGAAGAACGAAACAAAAATGAAACATTGCACGGCTGTGAATTACGGCTGTGGGGATATAAAGGGGAGTTGGCGGAAATTGCATTATCAGCGTCAAAAGGCAAAGGACTGAAGCCCTCCGCTCTCCCTCCCTCCCTCCATCATTTTGGTGGCATGTTTTGCCGCCGGCTGCTGTTCCTGCCACTTCCTCCTGCACTTCCTGCCCGCCGAGACAATGAGTTGTGATAGCACAACTTTTGCAGCGGCGGCGTCGCGCGTTGCGCATAATTACCGTTGGGGCGGAATGGGAGCGGTTACTTTCCCGCTCGCTCAAGACTGATGAGCTGTTTATGACTTGACGCTTTCGCAGTGCATTTAATACCGTTATTGTGGAACATTTGTAACTAGCAGTTAATAACATTGCACAGGGAAAATAGAACGTTTTACTTAATACATGTAATTTATAATTATTGTTCAGCGTTAAAGAAACGGTTAATTAGTTGAATTTATACAGATGGCGCTGGAATGTCAAATTCGACCGTATTGTGTTTTTACGCGCTGGGCACACTGACACGAACCGTTACAACCACTACCTTAAGAAGAAAATAATAATATTTAGCAGTTATAAAGATAAATTAAGATATAGTTTTTTTAAGTAATTTTTTCTTTGTAAATTGAAAAATGGATTAGTAAAACAATATATTCCGTAGGCATGAAAAATTCTCTGAACCACATTAAATATTTCTCTCTCTGTTCCCCTTGCAGCTGCAAAATGGATTACGCTCGCTGGCCATTGTTCATTCCGTTTATATGAAATTTTAATGAATTGTAAAGCCAGGACATCTTGGAAGCAGCACACATGTGCCGCCGCCGCTGCTCTATCAGACAAACATTATGGCAGTCTCCACTTCAAGTTCAATAAAGTTGAGTGCCTGGCACAAATGGAAATTTTACGCAAACCCATCGAGGCGAAAGGAAAGAGCGGGAAAGTGCCCTTTAAAATCACTTTATTACGCCAGCGTGCGTAGGGGTATTTTTTGCCCCCCTGAAGTGTGTGTGTGGACACATATTGTTTGGAAGGAGGGCGACAATTTATAAGAAAATTCCTATCGAACGTTGGGCAAATGTCTTTTGGCCGATAAAAATGTACCCGGCACACGCTTTAATCATGAAAAATCATATTGAAAGCACCGGGCCCTGCACATGCTGATAACATGAGGCGTTTGCCAGATAGTGGGCGTGGCGGCAGCCATTAAATGAATATTTCAACAAATTTGCTTTTACAAGTATATTTAAGATCAGGCCAACGAGACTCACACAAAACAGCTGCACAATTTCCGTTGTAAACTTTGCACTGCAAAGTTTTTGTGTGCGACTTTTGACAACAACAAGAACCATGACAGTTGGGAGAGGAGAAGGCAAGTTTGGCTAATGGTTGAATCTGGAATACCCTTCCCTTGAAATATAATGGGAAATCAAAACTACTCAGAAAGATGATTGATACTTGTAAGTTTGGTTGAATAATGTAAGCTTGTTGATGAAAGGAAATTTGTTTTTCTAATTATCATCTCCTTCCATGTCTTGGGCACACCACTCTTCATACCCTTCTTTGACAAGTTGGAAGTTTCCGCCGCATGCATTTCAATTGCGTAGCCGACGCCGTCGACATTTACATGGCAAGTCATTGGGTAAAGTGCCCCCCTGTTGGCTGGCCACCCACTGGCATGGAAAGCATCTACCCATCTACCGCCTGCTCAGTGTCTTACATCTCTTTGACTCTAATAGATTTTAATCAGCCGCAGGACATTCGCCTGGACGACAAGGACAACGACAACGTCGACGACATGCTGTTATGGCCCCGCCGAAACGCTTGGCGACATTCGAAATTCCTGACCAGAATCCGATGAGAATCGCCGTAGGCTGATCAGGCCTTGCCTTTAATTATGCCAGTTGGGGGAATTAAAAACTCATTTTTCGGCCTTCATATCTTTGTTCGCATTTAAATTAGAGCCCAGAAAAGAGGGCATTGTTTCTGGCTAAAGGCTTTGAGCATTTCTTTTTTGTATAAAAATGCCAGTTTAGAGAGCGTTTTTCCACCCAATTTCCCGAGAAAAACCTTCGGGCAGCGCACACACCTCTAATGAGCCACTTCACATCCTTGAATCCTCGCTGCATTTCCAGCACTTTGACACGTTTCACATTTCTCGGAGGGTGTACACTTTTATTTTGCGTAATTGGCCAAATGCTGAGTGATGTGGCCAGCGACATTATGGCTGAAACAAATTTAATGCCCTTATCGGCATCCGTTCTTGGCCATAAAATGACCCGCTTTTCCGCATTTTCATCCATTCCGTTTCCATTGCCAATAAAAGTGTGAAGAGAAATGCGTGTAATGAGCATTGGACTGTGCGGGACCCAGACATCTGACTTCTGACCGACTGGTGAAAAGTGTTTTAAAATGCAAAGTATCATTATTTGTGGGCATCGTTAAATTTCATTTAAAGCTACGGAAATGGAGCCAACAGATGACCCCGGTCGGGGGTCACATCCTCGGCTCCTGCCCGCGCTTATCTTGTCATTGTCATCTTTATTGGCTGCCATTATCGTCCTGCGGGTGTCCATAATTCCGCATGTAATTTGATTACCCACACAACCCACAAATTGCCACGCCTGCCGATATCAACAACTTCATCAGCACTTTGAGGTCACTTTCCAGGGGTGGGAATATTGTAAGATTAAAGTGGGAAATTTTGTCATATAAACCTCAATATTGTTATATAAATAAATGTATTGGTAATACATACCATAATATCTATAAAAACATCACAAAAACCTTAGGTTAAAAGCCTAATTGAAACTCCCGAGTTTGCTCATGCAGCCGCATGCAGAACATAGTCGTCAGAACCGCACAGATTATCTGTGATAAAGTGATATAATAATTACTATACCTAATCAATTATATAATCAACTTTTTCGCATTACCGAAGACGCAGTATTGAGCTGAAACCATAGCTGAGTGAAGGCATCGGCTAGGGCTCGCGACAGGTTCACGCAAACTATCCACAGAACTATCTTAAAAAGGCAAAATGCCACCAAGACGATTAACAGCTAAAAGCATCTCAAAATATGAGTCTTGGTGATTCACAACGTCTTCAATTTTTCTTACCAGCCTAATAATACAGAGCGTATTCATAAGCGCTCCATACAGTCCTATTGTCATGAATACAAATGCAATAAAACACGCCCCAGAGTTAATCTTTATAAGAACCGGATTGGTGGTCGTGTTCACAGAGTCGGATAGTATTTCCATGACATCGAACGCCTGCGGATTTGGTCATGCGTATTGGTTCAACGAGCACCAAGGTATCCAACTCACTATGGCACAGGCTATTGAGATCAATAGTGCGATTTTGAGTATAATAGCTGGGCAGGCGCACATCCTTAAGGAAATCCAAATGACAATTTTTTCATGTCTAAAATGTCAAATTTTAATGAATTTTGGTTCAATTTTGATTATTAAATAAATTAAAAGTGACATAAAGAAAAAAGGAATATATCTTAGTGATCCTCTTTTAATGTTTTTAATATTTATAATATTTTAAAATTGTTTTAAGTCTTTCCTATAAAAATTGCTAAAAAGAGAACAATGCAAGTCAAGCCATCTAAATTGTCATATAATAACCCATTTCTTGGCCTGTGGTGTTACTAAAAATGTGACAACTTTGCCAACTTCAGCTAGTTATTTACAAGTGCTAAGCCGCAAGATGCTTAAGTGACGGAAAGAGGAATACTGAAGCTGAGCTAGAGGTCCTTGTAGTCCTGCCACATGTGTCGGAGTAACAGGGACGACAAAGCGGCCACCAGCAATGCCAACAACAGTGTTGACATTTTCCAGTTGAACGCACAAAAGCCGGGACACATCCCGGTGTCCCCCATCCTTGGGTCCTGTTTGTTGTTTGCCGTCTTGTATCTTGTATTTGGTATCTGGTATCTGGTATCTGTGCTGTGTGTCCTGCCTCTCTGTACCAAAATAATCGCCACAATAATCTGTCAACGACAGCTGCTGATGTCATAAAAACCTTTTGAAGATGTCGTTGCTAGAGTCCTTGTTTGGGGGGGAGGCCCAAACAGGCTAATGATAATTTGCCACAATTTACACTCAAGCCAGCCGCAGCAACAGGACGACCTCCTGGCTGTGATAAAATCATTGATGGAGCCAAAAGCTAATTGAATGTTAATCGCTTGGCATTGACATTGCACGTGGCGGCAAAAGACAGGGTTGGTTAGAATCAGGGGAAATCCTAGGAAAATGGAGAAATAGAAAACCCCTCATTTTCAACTTTCCACCGTTGTGCTCTTCGATAAAGCACAAAGGTAAGCGGTCAATTTGCATAAAGTGATGATAAATCAACAGAAAAAAACGACCTTAAAGCCGCTTTCACTTCCCTCTGAAGCTGCACTTGTTTGTTTCGCAACGCAGAGCAAATAGAATACAAACAGTCTTTAAATTAAAAATTAAATTTTAATCAACCTCGGAATGCGTATCAGTTAGGTGGGAAGGAAATGGGGGCGAATGCGAGGGCTTGCCCTTTGTCTGCTTCTATGACATATCGCGATGGTGGGTCTGTTTTCTTTTCTTCTACTTCTGCCCGAGATGGTCTGCTGTATTTGTACTTCAGCATCAGTTCTGACACATTTCACTTTTAAATTTTAAATAAACAATTTGCTTTTTTAAATATGTTAAGGATCTAGAAATATGTATGCGTAATGGTCCAAATCGGAATGACATACTATACTTCGTTTAAAATATCGCAAAATTATTTTAATCTCGTTTTTTCCTCAAAAAAGACTTTATTGCGCCCATTGAAAAGGCGAAAATTATCCTAACATGGAATGTTATATCTTGTTGAGTTCGTATTTAAATTC